TGGAGGCGGAAAAGCTGTAGGTCCATGTGCTAAGATTTGCGTGCAGGTTCAAGAGCCCCAGGTGATCGAAATTTCTGGAGCCCTCCACTACGGCGTCTCTCATATACATATGGTGGTTTTCGGACGTTAAACGCCACATATCAATAAATAAATCGCCATTAACTTAGTGGATAGGCCCCGATTTTTCTCTTCTTTACCTTCACAGCTTTCTTTCTCACTTTGTTTGTCTCTCTTTCCCTGTCTTTCTGGTAATCACCCTCCGAGTTATCACAGCCAATGCTTGAGGGTTGAGCAGTAAGACGTGTCCAAAATTTCTGGCGCATACTCGATCATATTGATAGTTTCTGGGCAAGGTCACACACTTTGCACCAAGATACAACAGCTTCTTTCCTAAGAATCTTGTTACCTGCACTGTCTTACTATTACCATGATAATGGTTACTCAGTGCGAAACGACGTGCGTTCTGTACATGCCGAACCGATTGTTATCCTGTAGCATTTGATAGTTTATAAGCACACGTTGCATTCAGCGGTTCCAAAGCATTACAATAAATGCATTTGTGTTTCGGAAAAAAAAAAGGTGTTTACCTAATTTACAGTACTTGGAAGTCTACTAAGGGAGAGTAGAAAGCCGTCCTGGTACGAATGACGGGCAACGATTGTCCAAGACCGAGAAGCCAATCAAGCAGGAACATAGGAATGACAATGAACTTTTTTCTCAGAGCTCGTTTCGACATATTACTTTTTATGGCCATCCTTTTTACAAGCGCTTATAACGACACGGCTCTAAAAAGCGCTTTTTTCTAGCATGCATACGAAGGCTAACGAACAAAACGTACGTTTATCACTTCATAAACGCTGATATGATTTAAACCGACCAATTCACTATTAGCTTTCAATCACTAGACACATTATCCAGCAGGCCTTTGTTCTCGCCCTTGGTTGGCATTACCAGCTAATGTGGCTCGGGCTTACGTACAGCTTCATCGCGAGGAATCGCAAGTACCTTGCCGCTTATTCATGGTTTTGCAATCAACATCGTGGTAATGATATAAACCATTGTCACATAGTGGGCTTACATGCCTTCTGATCAACAAGCACTGCCATTGATCTCAATAATTACACGTAAATCGTCTCGATAGCTGTTCGTTATGGGAAAATAGCTGGCACATGGAACGAGACAAGCTGAGACCAGCAAAGGAAAGATTCCGCGATGAGATTTCATCAGTGTTTTGGTGGGTTCGATGTCGGCTGAGGTCATCGATTGGTGACTTTCGTAACTTTCGTGATTTACAGAAGGCGATATGTGGTTGACAAGTGACTACTCACTTAATGCAGCCTCAACACACGATTCAATGGATACACACATTTGTTCATTCATCGGCCGGCTGTCTGCGCCAGTACACACGAACCGCATGATGAGCGAAAACAAAACCAAAAATATCAGCAGAATCAACCCAAGAAAGTTTATAAAATGCTGCAGGAGTACAAAACATGTTTGCAAAGTGAAGCCAGGCAGCCGCCCTCTTACACCAGGCACGGTCAAACGCAGGCATGCAGCGAAGACACAGTAGCGTTTTCTTCGCATGCCATAAACTTTTAACAGCGTACTTTCCTGGGACATATACTGCTGTGTGGGTATCCTAGCGTCATTGAGTTCTCAAGGAAGCCTGAACGTTTTGCCAAATTTTAGTAGAGGTCAAGTTACCTGCCCTCATTTCGATGTCAGCAACAGTGATCTAGTGCTGATAATTTAAGCTAGCATTTACATTAGCAAAACAAAAAATTACAGAATATAAAATCAGTGAATGATGATGAGTAGGGCGAAGGGTGCGTCCGTGCCTGTGTCCTGTGCTCCGTCCATTCGTGTGTCCATCGATCCGTCCGAACGTCTATACCACTATCCCGCACCTTTTCAATCTACATTCATTACATACAAGTACCACAATCTAGCGGACATTTAAAGGACTAAACGAGTGGTGGCTGCATGATGACACGGAACATATGACTCACGGCGTAAGGAGCTTCACCCCTAAACAACTGGCGGCGTATCTGCGTGCTCGGCTGGCAAAGGTCGTCGAAAGACGTCTTTTCTCTGTAGAGCCAGAATAAAAAACTTATTTGACTTCCTGCCCGAGAAAATTGCAAGTAGGTGCTGCGTGAGATTCGGACGCCATTTGCCAGTAATTTGAAAAAAAAATGTTTTTTCTAGAAAGCGAAGTCACTGGAAGTTGGCCAGTACCATTGTCACAGGACCCGTCAATTCGGGAGGCGATCGCCGGGCTAATTCCAAGGGCCGAAGTATCCGCCCCCCGAACCGCACCACGAAAGCGTGGACAATTTAGAAGTGGTCCTATTCGGCGCGCCAGCGGACGCCGGCTGTGGCCCAAAGAACAAGTCAGAGCCGAGAGTTGATAAACAAAACAAAATTATATTCTCAATTACGGCAGATCAGATCGATACACAAGTATGCACACTCGACCATAGTTGAATACAATATGACGCCAATCAAACAACGTACTACACAGTACAATCAGCCACACTCAAAACAACGGATACAGACAACTATACGCACTGCAATGCAGTCGCGTGCATCGAACAACCAAGATACCTAAAGACTAAAGAGTTAGAAAACTTATTCAGTCCAAAGTTCTTGGAACAAAAGTCTGAATGATACCCCTCCGAGAATCATTCACTCAACGTCCAGCGTTGTTGTCGTTCCGCTGCCCCCGAAGTTTCTCTTCCAGGAAACCTCGCGTCTTCAATCGGCTGCTCTCCAGGCTCCAAACCTCTTCGCCGAAAACACGTCGGTTTCACACACGCAGCTGTCGCCACGCGTCTTCGCTCGATAGCGGTAGACACACACTCTTGCCTGTAGCTCGGGTCTTAACCTTTCGGGTGGAAATCCTCCTCTTCTCCTCCTTTGTCACGGAGGAGAAAAGGCTTCGCCCACAAGGCAGAACACCCTACGCACTCTGGCGCATACTTTCTTCTTCTCCTGCTTTGTCACTAAGGACAAAACCTTTACCGACAGACGCGGTGGAATGACCCCACGCATACTGGCGCTAACTTCCTTCTCCCGATCTCCAATCTCTGCTGCTTGGTTAAATACCTTCCGCGCGAGATTCCAGAAAATTCTCATCATTTCGTCGGCGCGATGCGCAGTGAATGCTGAGGGAAAGGGCGAGACGGTACGAGAGCCGTCCGCGAAAGATGACGCAACCCTGCATCACCACGCCCTTTTCCATGGAGAACTTTCTAGGGCTTGCTCGGCTGCCGATGCAAGGAGGTTCGTCGGCGAACCTACGCTTCCGAGGGGAGAGGGACGCGCGCCCGGGCAGTCTTTGGATGCTTGTTTTTCTTTTTTTTATCGTTGACCTCGAGGCATCTCTATGGCGCTTCGTCGCGAGAATTTGGCGGCGCGCCCTTTTTGAGCGCTCGTTTTGTGACAACCATGTAGGTTAAGTTAAGCATGAGAAACAATTGTTTTTGTGGTCATAGCATTGCATTGTGAGCGCCACGTAATCGACACTGCGGTCTTCACGTATGTATGCATCATTAAAGTAAAGCAACAAACTATTTAAGGACCTCGTACAGATGTAGCGTCATAATATGCGTAATATTTGTTTTTTAATACACATATCAGTGCGTAGGAACACAGAAATCAGATCATGATTGTTGGTCGCTTCTCCACTCGCGAATCTACCAATCGGGGTGACCAACAAAAAAATAACAGAAAAGACACACACACACACCAATGCACACAAACAAAGAGACCAAAATTTCTGCTTTGGAGTATTACAAGGAAGACAATTATCGTGGGTATTCCTTGAGAAGGCCTCTGTTTTCAGCTCAACTTTATATAACTGTTCACTTCGCTCCTGCTTCTAAAACTCTCTGAAATATTCCGCTCAATGAAAGACACTCATCCCACTCATTAATGTATTGTTGTAGAAGTGTATAATCGTGCGTATGACACTTCCCCTGAATTGGTTGTTTCCCACGGAGATTTTGCTTGTCTATACCTCTGGCTGGCCATCTGGCTAGCCAGAGACGGCCTGGGTGGCCGTCTATACTAGCCGGCCAGCCAGGCGAAACCAAGCCAGGCCAGCCCAGCCCAGCCTAGAAAGACAGAGCGATGGGTGAGTTAGTATTTCATTGTGGAGGGCGTTTTGTTAAAAAAACACTTACAAGAAGGAAATGAGCACAGACAGGTGCCTGCACCTTCTTGTGCTCCTTTTTTTGCAAGTGTTTTTTTTTGCACAAAAAGCGATTCATCTCAGCCAGCTCAGCCTTCGCAACCGACCGACCGACCAACGAACGAACCAACTCTACCCAACCCAACCAACCAACCAACCTACCTTACCGCTGTGTTGTACGAATTACCTGCCATTATTCATGATTCTAGATTTTACAAGTACGAGCACCTTTCGTAACGGGGAATTTTCATCTGATAGTACTATGTGCTATCATCGGGTTTTCATTCAGTAAAAGACACAATGGCTCCCAGCTTCGCGCAGCTTCCCTATAATAAAAGGCGGATTTTGCTTCACTTAGTCTCCGCTTAAAATGCAAAGCAATGTTCCACTGAATGCTGAAAGCTTATTCAATAACAGCACTATTACTGAAAGGCCTGAATGGAAAGATTCGCGCCTAGGACATTTTTTTTTTTCATGACGCGACATCATGTGAGCGAATGAGACAAGGAAGAATGATATATGGGGTTTAACGTCCCGGAACCATAATATGTATATGAGAGACGCTGTAGTAGAGGGCTCCTGAAATTTCGACCACCTCGGGTTCTTTAACGTGCGCCCAAATCTGAGCACACGGGCCTACAACATTTCCGCCTCCGTCGGAAATGCCGCAAGGAAGATACCATAACATCGAAAGTAAAACTTCTTAATAATTTTGCACTGTATATCGAGTTCTCTGTTCTCGTTCAGTTCTGCAGGTCAGCAGTCACCTTGTCTTGTTAAATTATGTTTTTATTTCTACTAGGGTATCAAAATGCACTACGTTCACAATGGCTGTAAACAACACGGTGAAGGGCCCTATACTGCTTCTGCTGCACGGATTTTTGGATTTTTGGTACATCTGGAATAGGCAGCTGCCTGCACTTGCTGAATATTTCTGGTGAGCGAAAACAAGTAGACGGACTGTATTTACGGAGATAGCGTTCAATGTAGATTGCAGTCGTCGTCTTCGTTGTAGCCAAGCGAGTGCGATAGTAACAGTTAGGTGCTTCGCCGTATTCGCAGTTAACGGTGAAGTAAAATGTACGTATACATGCGTATCGGCAAAGAACGAACGTCTGATGTAAAGTCCCGGCAAAATGCAATACTCATATTTAGGAGTATGTTAGAAGTGTGAACACAAAAGAATATATCAAAAATGCCCCCCTCCCAAAAAAAAAACTACGTGTAACTACAATTTTGGAAACGGTCAGTATTATATTTAATTCAATCTGGTCGCAAAATTTAGAGCTCTTGCAGCTCATTTGATTCAACCTTTTTAATATTTATCCATGAGTTGTTAAATCACTCTGTGACCGATGCCATCGAGAAGCACGAAAGCAGCACAGCTTTTAATTAAAGGTAGAGACTGTTTACGTACAACTCCGCACTCGCCCTCGGCCCGCCCTGCCCTCTATTTTTACATAAAAGAAAAGCAGTTTTGATTACTTGCCTTCTTTTTTTACCTATCCTGCTACAGTGGTGAAAAAGATTTTGGCTCGTGAGCCAACGTCTTCACCTTCTCGTTCGATATGTCCAATGCGGTGCAAGTTGACTACGTGAAACGGAAAGGGAGGAGAAAGTTTAATAGTGCTGAAACAACTTCGAGAATTGATTTCATGCGGATTGCTGAGTAGCGTTTCATGATTAAAATTGCGCAATGTTTGGCTCGTCACGTGATTGTATTATTTGTGTTGCAGGAATATGATGGGATAGCTATGCATAATGACTACGCTGGCGTTCTACGACATCATTGTTTGTTGTAACGGCACACCATTAAAGCAGCATGCAATTTATTTGTTTATTCTACACATAGCGCGCAATCAAGATTTCCATGTTTGTTTTCGCTTTACTTTTTGTATGGACTGAAAATGATCCATAGCGAGAAGTTGCATACCATACACGGTGGCATGCGCTAACGTGCAACACGTCATTGCAGAAAAGGGTGTTATGACGTGCGTGACATGCCTTCCCCGGCATCATTGTCATTTGCTTTTTATTATAGCTGGAAAAAGGACACACCAGTGATGGGATACCTTTAATTCTTCAAATAGAAGCTAAAGCTCCAACAACCGACAAAGGGCTCTACAAATAACCTCTGAGAGATGCTGCCAGTTCATGATCAATTCTAAATCTTTTTTTTTTTTACAAAGCCGTTCTTTCACTTGCCTGTGCAACGCTGCCCATCTGTGCCTCCGTGCCAAAGCACTGCACCGCGTTCCCCCCCCCACAGTTGTTGGAACAATGCCAAGAAGGCCAAGTCCCATCTGCCCATTGACGTTACTATCTCCCTCACCCGCAACAGCTGCAGGCTCTTCTCAACACCCCTAGATGGTGTTGCTTCTCTACCAGTTCGCAACCTACTTCTCCTTCACTTCCCCCTCTTCACCACCCGCAACGGATGACCGCACGTCGAATGAAAACACCCTTTTCGGCTCCTTTATCTGCAATGCAACTTACACGAAACCAAGCCCCATCCCACATCTTTGTGTTACCAAGAAACGCTTACTCGAGTAAAGGCTGCACCAAGTTTTGCTTCAAACCGTTCTTCCAGCACTCGAGTCAACGCCCGTTTTTTGGCCGAGTGAACGGCATGCGCACCATTACTGCTTTGCATTCCATCATCGTTCTCTTCGGGGAGATGGACCATAATTTTTTTCAGGTATCATTGGTATTCAATTTACTGTTAGTGAGCTGTTCGGTGTACTCGGCAAAAAATATATATGCCCGTCCTCAGTCGACGAAATGGGAGCGATTGAACATGTCTCCACCTGGTTTTGTGCGCCGCTGGTAGAATTTATTGATGTACCTCAGCTAGGTTTACACTGGGCAAGAATGGGTGCGTGGCGGATTTTTCAGGTCGCCTACTGCAAACAAAAACAAATATTCAGCTTTTTGGTAGAGTATTTGCAACAGTTCTCTCAAATTTCCGAATACAAGGAAACATCGCCGTCTAATTACTTACGTAAGACCAGAAGTGTACATTATGGTTAAGACACGTGCTCTCAAAAGAGTTGATTAGATTATTTAGTTTTTAAGGGATGAGCATAACCCTTTCAACCATAGAATATTTATTGCTACGTTGCCAGGAGCGATAACCAAACTTTTTTGTCTACCGTGTACAATGGTCCATATAGGTTATTCCTTAACCCTAGGCGAGGTTTCATCTTACAGGTTCCTGATAAGCGAATTACCTATAAATAATTTGCCAATATGGGCGTGATGCGCCTATTTTAGAAACATTGTGTTTGTAGCTTCTCTACTAGGGAAATGTTTTTGGGGAAGCATCGGGAAGTGTTTTTAGAAAGTGCGTCAAAAAAGCCGTTAGTTAGACCTCGATTTAAAACTTGTTTCTTTGAATATGGGCTAAAAATTTCAAAACATGGCTTGAAGAATGAGGTGCGTTTGTGCTCTTGGCATTGAATAGATTTTTTTAGGAAACCAGATACAATACAACATGTTTCATTGACTGTCGGCATGTTGTATTTTTCAGGTGTCCTACAAAAATGCTCGATAGTATCTGCCATTTGACCCTCGTGGTATACCTTTTCTCCTTATCCAAGGAAATAGTGTTCCACATAACCTATATATGCTCCTGGGTCTTTGTACCATATTGAGTGTACTTATGGTAATTCAAAACGATGAACCCCTAATACAATCGCTTAACACGCATTTCACTGAAAATGCCATTGAACCCAGAGAAGTGCTGGAGCACCAAATGGCTGATGATGGGCTGATTTGTGTATTAAATCCTCTGAAAACGATAAAGTGATCAAGTGAACGCAGCCAGCATCGTACATGCTGGGGGGCGATGTGTGGCAGATACTCGTTTAATGTCGCAAGGAAGAAACAAATTGCCCCCGCCTCCCCAGAAAGAATCATGAGAAAATGCAACTGCATTTTTTTCTCTACAGTACACGGCGTTCTAATTTTAATGGCAAGAATAATGACGCGACAATGATTTATACCGTAGCCCTCTATTTAAACATTCATCAGCCACCGAATGGTCGAGAGTAAAGCCCGCGCTTCGCTCTATTTACACATACGTACGAGCTTGCGGATGAGACGGTGGGGCGCAGAGAGCAGAAATAGTGAATGGCGAGAGAACCAGTGGCGAAACCATGTACCTACCCTCTCCGACACTCCCTCCACACACGCGGGAGCTTTGCTGAGCTTCCACAATGCGAGCGGCCTTATACGACAGAGTGTGCTCATCCTCTCCACTCTCTGCTTCTCTGCCCGCACCACCTGCTCCGATTGCTAGGGGCGAGAATAAGCGCGCGTGCCTGCAGCTGTTGCTAGGGAAAAGGGAGTGAGTGCGCGTAGATAACAGCTGGTCGCGTGCGGACACCGACAGACACCTGAAATGCCCCAACTAAGAAATGCATTCGCGATTAAAATGATGGCAGCGTGACCCTCTTTTGCTTTGTTTTCTGTGTTTGTCTTTACGTCTCCCACTGGTTTTCTATGTTTTTACACGGTAATTAACATTATTTGGAGTGTTTGGTCTCTGCTTCTTTATTACATCATTATTTATATATTTCTCTCAATCCTATTTTGTCCTCCATTATTATTATTTTCGTCTATTTTCATTTTCGTCCGATGTGCTTATTTCTAGTAATACATGTTTGGGGACTATTGCTTTTTTTCAAGTGCCACACTACCGAGCAGAGTTTTCGTTTAAAGTTTGAACCACCTGTACTCGGTAGTGGGCATGGCACATTTCCCGTGGCGCACCCCACCTATAGACTTTTTTACAACGCCTCACAAAGTGTGGCGAGCTACAATGGCTTCATTGTTTAAAAATTGGGGTATGCCCTAGCTTTCTAAGAACTGGCTTTCTGACCACGGGGACCCGCTTGAGAATGCAGCTCAAGGAAGATATTCGTTTTCTTGTATTTCAATTTTTGTAGCGCATATTACAGTTGCGGGGAAGGTGTTTTTTTTCCTTTTCAGAGCACTACTAGCCTTACAAATCAGGCAACGCACTACCCTATTTTAAAACATAAACGACCACACGGGAGTGCTTTTGTGTTTTTCGTACGATGATCAACTGTCATGTCTATAACTACGCGATGTCGCGCTCAGAACAACATTAGTGACATCCACACTTCGAAGCAGGCCACATCTCTGAGTGCGCGGTGGCCGCAATAACGTGTCTGCCTAGCGATTGCCGTGTTGTTTCTCACCACGACAACTGCTTTAGCTGTCAGAAGCACTAGTTTAGCCTCAAATAGATGGTTGGGAAAGTATTTCCTATTAGTCCGGCAGATTAATCGCACGGGCTTAGGTCTTCCATGTCGGGACTTCAAGACCTTGCCTATCCGTCACTTCACGGGCCTGCTGTACTGCACAGAGTTGGCCGACAAGCTTGTAGCTGCGCATAGTGGCTTCCCGCATCGCTGACACAACATTGGTAGTAATAAGTATCGCTTTAGCCTCGCATTCCCAGAGCATGATGGTAAACGCACCTGTGTCTCTCTGGCAGACGGTACAGACGCAGGTAATACAAATCTCAGTGTATATTCGGTGATAGAGCAAAGGGTTCGGGCAACTGTTAGTTTGCAGCTGTCGCCAGGTAACTATGCGGGATCAGCATGGACTTCAATAAAGAAGAGGATAGCATCGCCGGGGCCAAGCAAAGCGCCTTGGCCAGCTCATTGTATCTTGTCTGTCGATCTGGGGCCGTATATGCCACAACGTCATCGCCCCTTTCACGGCTTGTTGTGACGCGTGCGGTGGAACACGCTGCCTCATTACAGTTGGCGAGGTGGGCCTCGGGTACACTTCGTCGATATCAGCGGGAATCCAAATGAAGGCAGTCATGGAAATCTGGCTGGTATGCGAACCACTTTAATGGAAATCTCACCCTT